GGTTATACTGTGCTGCGCACTCGTTCAATTTTGTAAGCCAATCATCGCGCGACCCATTTTGCAAGGAAAGTAATATGGCTGCTTCCATCAGCGCCTGTCATCCATCACGTCGTTTGATGTTTACATCCTTTCTTTAAATATTGCATGAAAAAGAAGTGAACAAAGCTACATATGCAATAAGTAGTAAATATAATTAATGTTGAGATATCATATTACTTCATGTGTTTAATAATATGTTTAATAATATAAAGTGGGCGCCTACAAAATGGGTCGTCTTCTGATTGGTTTAACCGTCAAAGCTGCCGCCATTATGCGCAATGCTTCACCTTGTTATTTCCACCATGTGTTGAACAAGACAGTTGCCATATTGCTTCATACCAGGGGCTCGATTCTTGAATTCATTCGAAAAGGAGAAACGTATGCGAAAATTCTGCTTTTACAGAAAAGTCGCAGGTTGATTGGCTGTTCGCGTGGCTTTTAACCAATCGACTTTCAAGTAAAAAAAAAAAAAAGTAAAAATGGGTGTAAAGGCGCGCAAAACAGTCTCTTGAAACGGCATAAAGTAAAACGAGTGAAAAGTTTTTTATTAAAGTAACGGAATCTACATTTTTAGATCGTAGATTGTAGATTGATTGACATTTCGTAGATTGATTGACCGCAAAACGAAATCAACGCAAGTCAATACAAACGGAATAAAATTTACAATATTACGTATTTTTCGCGCGGCCGACCGGCGCGCCGCCGCGCGAGCACCGGCGGCACCAGTCGCGACAACCCGGTGGATAATCGAGTGCGGCCGATCGATCGACCGTTACCGGCGCCTGAGGGGCGAGCGGAGAGTCGTCGACGAAGAGCGCCGACGGGCGCGCCAGCGCGCGTTGTGTTTATCGAGCGCGCGCGTGTGTGTGCGTGCGCGCGCGTGTCAAAATAACGATAGCCCCGTGTAATGTCACTCGGCGCTCGGACGGGCCCTCGATCGCGCTCGGCGAACTGACAGCGGCCGCCGATGTTCACGGACGGCGACGGGCGTGTGACAGACGCGGACGGAACGGTCGGCGTAGGCGGGCACGGGACTCCGGGGCGAGACGCCGCCGAGCGCCGCTGATCGCTAACCTCCTCCTGCTCGCGCGAACTCGAGCACTGCGCCCGGGAGTGGAGTCTGTGGAGTTGATCCCGTGATCTCGCCACGAGGGGAGCGTGTCGTTTGTTTTCCCTCCCGTTGATCAACGCCGAGGGCCCGAGGGAGCGAGGGCGGCCCGGGAGAAACCTAGGAGTAATAAGTTAATCAATCTCGCGCGGCAGAATCTTCTGTCTATTGATCCGCGGCGAGAGATGGATTAACGGCCGTCATGCGATCGCGTGGTGGCGAGAAGGCGACGCGGCACTTCCGAGGAAACGAGACCACTGTTTTTAACCGAGTCCCGTGAGCGCGAGAACCGCTCGTATCCGAGTCGACAAATTCACGTCTTCGTGAACAAGATTGCAGGCAAGATGAGCAGCCAGTTGAATATAACGGTCAGGCCGGAGGTAAGACTGGACGCCAAGTGGCTGAAGACTGATCTGCAACGATTCCTTTATCGCGATGGTCTGGCCGAGTTGTGGAACGAGATGGTACGCGACGGCGAGATCGTCGGCTCGTTCAGCGACGGTTTGATCAATGCCGCTGGAATCGTGGCGAAGAAGGGTGAGCGGATGTAGAAGTGAATTTGATTTCGTATCGAGTTTACTTCGTGCGTTGTAAAGCCGTCGTTTGTCAATAAAAGGAGATTCAGAACATGGGCCTTGGTCTTCTCGGCCTCCAAAACGGAGCAACGTTTCATTTAGAGATACACAAACTTCAAAGCCTAATCTACAATGTGCTCCTTGCGTCTAGAAACATTCTATTTTGTAGCCAGTACATATGTTCAAGTATTTATGGCGCAAGACCAGTAAACGTGGTTAATATGAATTCTGATTGGCCAGCAGGCACTTTTGAAAGGGCTTTTATTGACAAAAGGGGACACAGAGATTTATCGAGAGCAAGTCATCAACGTAAATCCTTTTTGATTGGTTCCTCGTGCACTTTTCAGGCGAGAACGGCAACTATTACTGTGGTATGAGAGTGTTGTCGTGTCTCTGCTGCGACGGAATTTGTGGCCCGCAACATGGCTGTAATTGTACTCCGTGCCAGAAGCTGGACGAGGAAGAGACCGCGAGAACGACAGCGATGGTTGAAAAGGCTACGTCTGCCAGGCGGATAATGGACTCGTGGCTCTGGGGACCGCCGCCATGTAAACAAATTTGCGTGGATGTTTTATCCCCCGTTTCTAAATTCTTACTTGAGTTTTCGCCCGAAATATTTCGACGAGACGTCGACAAGTACTTGAAAAATTATTATAGAGATTTTACGAGTATCTTCTGTTTTACATAAATTTGTTTTCTCGCATTAGACAAGATATTTGCTTCACAAATAATCGTTGTCTTTCCGTGTATGTACATGGAATATTTTGTGTGTACTGGTGAGAAACATTTCCGTATCCTTTTTGTTCTTGTCGAGTTTGTATCGATTATCCATTCACTTACGTTCACGCGTGTCTCCGCAGCGTTGACAGACCTGAGAGGATGCATCGATTTGTCGATTAAGGAGCAACGGAAGCTGTGCTGCGAGGTCGCGAATAGCACGTTGTCCGCGACGCGTTTGAGACAGCGCTTGATAGTCGCTCGAAGATATTTCACCGCGCTGTCTCGCCATAAGCCACAAGAGATCAAAGATACCTCAAGTTTACCAAAGTCTATCGGAAAGTTACAAAAAACGTAGAGTATAAAATTATATACGTAACATATGTGATTATAGTAAGCCACGTATTTACGTTGCACGTCCTATTGCATGCAGCACGAATTTCCTAAGTGACTTGTTTTTTCGTAAATCGCAGGCCGAGACCTAACGAAAAGGCGACCTTAGGATTAGCGCGCGTCGGCTCACGCGCGGCCCTCAATTTCTCGTTCGCGTACTTAAGACGGGCTTGGAGATCCGGGGAGGACGTGGAATTTTGTAGCGAATTACTGACCGAGTCACTGGAAGCGTTGCAGTCGTTACCGGAGGCGACTCTCTTCGACGAGAGCAACGTCTCCCAAGTCTGGCTGGAGGTCGTAGAAAGATCAGCAAAATTTTTAAGACAAGTTGTCACGGGGTACAAATATATTTCGCTCATGTTATCAGTCCATAGCATTTTCTCGTGCAACAAATAGACACGCGTGATATGTTTTTTTCAGGGAAGTAACTACCGGGCGATCATGGCGTCCCGTGCCGTTGTCAGACCAGCACACGGCTCTTTGCTTGTTACTGGAGCTGGTTGCGCAACGAGCTACTCTTTCTAGTTTATTAGATTCCGTGGTTTTATTGCTCCATCTCAGCGGCAAACACAAAAATCAGGACAATCGAGTGACGCCGCCCGGTAGCACGGCACCGCTCGTCCCGCTGTTGCGGCGACTGAATATGATACCAGCGACGAAATCGCGCAGGCACCTCGACAGAAACGTCACGCCGGGACCGTGTGAAGTGCTACTCAAGTATTTACGATTACCGGACGACGACGCCGTGTCCGTCGACTTGAGGAAAGCCGCGGTCATTATAATGTGTAACTTGAGCAGATTGGCCGCCCCCCTTTTGCCACCCGCTAGCGCCGAGTACGGATTCCCGAGGAACGGAAACGGCAGGCAAACGTTTCAGGAGGTGCTGGCTTGGGGCGGTGTAAAGTTTGGAAACGGCTCCACTCCGTTTTACTGCGACGCGATCGCGGAATTGGGCATAAAGCAGTTGTGCTGCACCGAACGAGCGCTAATGATATTGTCATTGAATGGCAACGTTTACAATATGTATCACGGATCCGAAACTCAGTATCCTCAAAGAGTGCACGGTTTCTCCGACAAGTCGGTCACGATGATCGCGTCCCATTCGGACGGCAAGCATTACTTGGCGCTAACGCAGGACGGCTGCGTGTACTCCTGGGGCAACGGGGACGGCGGTCGGCTCGGACACGGCGACACCGTCTCGTACGACGAGCCGAAATTGATCGAGGCGCTTCTGGAGAAGAACATCGTGTTTATAGCGTGCGGCAGCACGTACTCGGCGGCGTTGAGCGCCAGCGGCGAATTGTACACGTGGGGAAGAGGAAACTACGGTAGATTGGGCCACGGTAATTTCGACGATGTCATGAGTCCAACCTTGGTGACAACGTTGAAAGGTCACACGGTCACGCACGTGGCCTGCGGCAGCGGTGACTCTCAAACCTTGTGCGTGACCGCGTCTGGCATAGTCTTCTCCTGGGGAGACGGCGATTACGGGAAACTCGGCAGGGGAGGCACGGACGGATCCAAGACGCCGAAGATCGTCGACAAGGTGTTGGACATCAACGTGGTGAAGGTGTTTTGCGGCGGCCAATTCTCCGCGGCGCTGACGGCCCACGGGGAGGTGTACACGTGGGGCAAAGGTGACGCGTATCGCCTGGGCCACGACAACGAGGAACACGTCAGATATCCCAAGGTCATTGAATCGTTGAGGGACAAGAAGGTCAAGGATCTGTCTGTAGGCACCACGCACATATTAGCGCTGACCGAGGATCAGTTCGTTTACGGATGGGGTAGAAATGATTATGGTCAAATCGACCCCACGTTAGGTCCCGTTGTCCCCGAGCCTACGTTATGCCCGACGTTATCCTCGAAGACGGTTATCGGTTTGGCATCAGGCCCGACTCAGAGCTTTGCCTGGTGCATGTCAGCGTGGTCGGGTGGAGCCAGCAGAGTGGCCTTCGTTGTCGACATATGCGAGGAGACTTTTCAATTGCTCGACACACTCCTGTCCAAGTCTTGCGAGGGCCTGCCGGGAATACGACCGCCTACGCAGGACCGCGAGTGCCTGGCGGTAGCCACGTTGAACTTGCTTCGATTACAGCTGCATACGATGTTAACGCATAACATTGACACTAAATCCGTCGGACTTGCAACTAGCAGTCCGCTGTTAAGCTCCTTGAAGCAACGCTGTGTTAATCTGGCAAGTGCGACCGGGATATTAGCGACGATACAGGAAGCGGCGCAGGCGGTTCTGCAGACTGGCTGGAGCGTACTGTTGCCGACGGCTAATGAGCGCGCGAAGACCCTGTCCAGCTTCCTGCCAAATACCTCGAACAACATGGAACAATCTAGTTCAACGAATATATACATAAATAGTGGTCAGCGGTTCATGGCCGATTTACTAGTATCTAGTCTAATGGTGGATGGCGGATTGGAGTTGGCGTTGAAGGCTGCGATCAAGGTGGAAATAGCGGACATGCCGGACGAGAAGGATTTCCTCGACGTGGGCACGTCGAACGTCGTCAAGGCGAAGATCGAGACGAGGCAGGCGATGAAAGACGGTTTTAACACCGGGAAGAACATCACGACTATCTCTCTGCTTCAGCTGATACAGCAGTTAATTAGGAACGGCACGTGCATCACGCAATCCAGACTGCAGCAAAGTTCGTCGCAGCAGATGGATCGAAACGAGCATCTTCGAAGATTCGACAACTCGCCCAGCCTGAATCTCCTGCTGCGTTTCCAACGTTTGCTGATCGCGCAGGTGTACGAGTGTATCACGCGCAAGTCACGCGCGGAAGATCTGCACGATCAGGAGATGATGGGCGCGGAATCGCTCCTAAAAAAGTACATTGCGCAGATCTGCAACCACGCGACCGAGATACTGCCGTCAGCGGCTGAGATAGGCGGTCGTTCCGTCAAAGATTTCATCTCCATCGCCGGCGTCCTGAAAAGCGACATAATCAACGTATTGCTTTCCGAGCTGGTGACTTGTCTGATATTGCTGCAAGTGGACTACTCTATGCTGCTCATCGATATGAATTGGATGGAGGTAATTGCGCCGATTCTCGACTCGTTGGACCACTTCGTGAAACTGGCGCCGACGATGGAGAAGAACGAAGCGGACGATTTGTCCTGGCCGGGGATCATCGCGCCGCTGCACGGAAATAAGATACCCATCCAGGAGGAGCCGTCGTTGATACGGTGGGCGGACCTGGAGAATCACAATCGCGACGGCGGCCTCTGGGTGGTGGTGAACAACAATGTTTACGACGTGCAGGATATCAGGAACGACGGCTCCTGGTCTCCTTACGAGGTGTTGCAACGGTACGTCGTCGGGCGGGACGAAAGCTCGGCGGTGACGCAATGCGGCGCGCCGCACGGCCAGCTGTCGCCACCGAGGGGCATGATGGATTCCTGCTTCGTCGGTCATTATTGCCAGGCCGAGCCCGACGAGAACGCACGGGTGACGATCGAGGTGACCGACGTCTGTTCGTCCCTGCTCGACACGGAGAGAGCCCTGGGATTTTTGCTGGGCTTGCACGCCTACCGAATGCGACAGAGCCTGACGCTTCAGTCGGCGGAGAAAGAGGCCGGTGTGTGGCTCACCGCGAGTTTCTTGCGGGGCGGCCTGCAAGTCCTGCAACCCCCGAATCCGTACGAAGAAGAGAAGGACGAAGCGAGGAGCAACACGTCGACCGCCGCCAACTCGCCCACGGAACCGCCGCTCCCGGTGCACGCGAAGAACGAGCAGCAGAAGGAGCACGACGACCGAACGATCGCGTTTATACACGCGTTAGCGGAGGCGCATAAAACCGACGACGGCCACGTTCGAGCGTTCTTAACGATAGTCGACAGATACTCCAAGGCTAACAATCTGTTCTCGCACGCTGACTTTTGCGGCGATCATCCAGTCGAGGAAATCAGTCGCGTTCTAATGGCTGTGATTATAAAACACCTTGGCTTGGGGCAACAAGCGCTGGCGTTAGCGGAACAGGAATTGAAGACGGTCAACAGCGCGAAGCTGAGCACTCAGCTGGCCGACATGGTGCGAGCGATTTATCAGACCAAGTGGAACCTGGTGCGGATCAGGCAGCAACAGAATCGCAGTTACAAGGAAGTTTGCGCGCCCGCGCAGGAGAGATGCAGATTTCTCTTGTACGAGGTGAGGTCCGCGACGAGTTACGAAGTTAAAGGGCTCGAGGATCTGAAGCTGCTGCACACCGTTCCCAGATTCAAGAGAGCCGTTCGCACGGTTCTAGCCGATATTCGCAAGAACAAAGATTCGCCCGGCGGGGGCGGCGGTAAACCGGAGGACATCCTGAACGCGTCGATACAAAACGCCAAGACGAAAAACAAACCGGACGAGGATACGACGGCCTCCTCCAAGGAAGGCCTGACCGCCGCGGCTTCCTCCTCCACGAAACTGGAGGACATATCGGACATAAAGAACAAAATTATGCAGATAACCGAGAAGATTCGATGCGGGCCGATGCATTGGGCCACCGCCGACTACAACGGTTTAATGACGAGTATCATCGAGTTCGTCATCAACGACGGCATCAGCGGGGACGTCGAGACACTGCGCCGCGCGATGTACTGCCAGATACAACGCGCTCGCGTGCGGGAACAAGGTATCTCAATGATGCGGGAATTATTGAAGAAAGACTACCTGATACCGTCGGTGAAATACTCGTTGCTTAACGGCTGGCTGGGCTTGACCTATGAGAACAAGTCTCTCAGCGACGGAATCGTGCACTGCCTGTACGATATACAGTTAACGACCCCGTATCAAAAGTCTAAAGTCATCCTGGCTGAGGCCGAGGTAATCTCATGGGCGGTGCAAGCTCTACGGACGTACGTCGTACAGGCGGAGTTGCCGAGCAAGCAAAAGGTCAGCGGTAAGAGCAGCTTGAATCAAGGTACCTATACTTGGCTGCGAAAATTACCGAGAGCGAGATTCCTGCTGACTATTCTCGGCATGCTGACCAATCACCAGTGCGCCAACAAGATCGGGCTGCTAGTTAATTCGGGCCTCTTGTCGAGCATCCTGACTTTACTGAGACAGATCGGCCCATCGTCGGCAAGTTTCTGCGAGGGCGGCGAGGGACAGCAAGTCGGAGAAGGCGAGACGCCGAAAATTAAGACGGAGATCACGGCGGTCTACGAGGACACCCTTCAGAAGAACAAACCGCCGACTGTTCAGCTTAGCGGAACGGAGCTGGCGGCGCTGATGAAGGTCGGCACTCGGGTTGTACGGGGGGCCGATTGGAAGTGGGGTGATCAGGATGGTCCACCACCTGGCGTAGGTAGAGTCATCGGCGAGCTCGGCGAAGACGGGTGGATAAGGGTTCAGTGGGACAACGGCGCGACGAATTCGTATCGCATGGGTAAGGAAGGTAAATACGATCTAAAGCTGGCCGATCCACCGACGCCGCCCGACGATGACAGCGATGAGACCGACAGCGATACTTCGCTCGATGGAAGTAAGACGGAGAACACCGGTTTCCGCGGGGAGGATCTACACCCGACCACGTGCCTCAAATCGGCGTCGACGAACTTGCTGCGGATAATCTTACTCTCCTGCGGCGTGGAAGCTGATAAAGTACCCGCGATATCCATCAAGATCCTCACCTCCACTCTGCACGGTATAATATCGACTGCGAACAGATTCGGCGAGTCGACCACGCATGTTCAACTGGCGAGGCAGCATCACGAAACTTGGGCTACCTTCAGTCTTTTGAGGGCGATCGCGAAGTCGACGGGACTGTGCAGATCCTTGAGTTCGCAGGCCTGGCTCGACCTCCTGCTGGGTATCGTCATCGACGAAGCTAAGCCCTGCCTTGAGAAGCAAATTATGATCACGAAACTACTGGCGGCTGTTCTGTCTTCGTGGGGAACGGAGACAGCTCTAAGCGACAGGATACAATTCTTGGAGAAGTCCTTCGGGATATTGGGTCAAGTGGCTCTTTCGTGCGATATCGCTGCCGGTTCCGAGCTTCACTCGAACAAGTGCCGTATGTCCCTGACCGCATCGTACAGCTCTACCGTAGCCGAGGAACTAACGTGGCTAATTCGATTCTTGCATCCTCTTCCCGGCTGGAACGAAGCCGTAAACAGATTTCTCTCCGCGAAATTAGCGTTGGCGGTGGACCTCTGGAACGATAGCTCGCTGTACCACATACAGGTGAATGAGAACGGTGGCGATAATGGTCTCAATATCCAACGGACGGTCATGGCGACCCTCGTCGTCATCGGTGGTTTGGATAATAGAATAAGAATTGGCGGCTTGGTAAATTCTGACGGCGAGATAGGCACCGTCTGCAAGTTTACGAAACACTCCAAGATCGTTATGCAGCTGTGCAATGGCAGCGGGACGCGGAAGATAGTGCCGTTCCACGCGGTGAAGCAGATTAACGACAAGTTCCAGCTGGAGAGAATGCCTTTAACAGAGGCGCTTGTGTCTGTCTGGGCCAATCTGCTTTTAGGTATCGCCTGTATGGATAAACGACCCGGCGGCATGCCTGTCATCGCCGGCGCCGTCAACGCCGCGATACTACGAAGCCAGCACCAACAGCTCGCGGCTTTGAACGCCGGGAAAGCCATGCTCGCCTACCAGTCGAAATTGCGCAAGATCCTGAAATATTCGTTAGCCAATGAAATCAATGACGACGAGAGACGTACCTCCACGCTTTTGCAGGAGATGCTGTTACGCGCCACGAAGCCGCAGCCACTGAAACCGATATTCCAGCGTAGCGAATTAGAGGAGGCCGCTCTAGCGGTCTCTCAGTATCTTGTCTCCGAGCTGAGGCATACACCTATCCAACGAAACGGCATGGCTTCGGATCCTACTACTCCTACGTCCGACTGTTCGTTGGTATCTTTAACGTCGAGCCAGAGAAGGCACTGTAAGAACTCAACAGCGAGGAGAAGCTCGACGGCGGCGCCTGTAAACCCTTTGGTAGCTCAGTTAGTCGAAATGGGTTTTCACAGGAAGAGCGTCGAATTAGCCATCAAAAGCATGAGCGTCGCCGAGCAAGGCAACGTAACTGCGGAAAGTGTGGTGGGCTGGCTGTTGGAAAATCCGGACGCCGCCCTCAGCGACACGGAGACCTTGTCCAGCTTGGACGGGCTGACTGACGGCAGCGACGACTCGATTAGCGAGGATTTAGACGATTCTCCGTCGGGGCAAGAAAGTGCTATGGGCGGTGGTGCACCGCCCACGTACATGAAACGCTCGGATTTCCTGTCGGTCGACGAGTACGCGATTTACGTGCGCGACAACGTGGTCCCGGGTATGCTGGTGCGATGCTGCAAGAGCTACGAGGAGGTGGAGTACGGCGACGTCGGCTTGGTAGTGAAGATCGACGTGGAGAACCTGCACGATCTGAACGCGCAGGTTGCGTGGCAACGTAAGGGCAGCATGTACTGGGTGCGCTTTATCCACATAGAACTACTTGGCTATCCGCCGTCTTTGCCGGGCCCGCCGCCCGCGCTCAAGGTCGGGGATAAAGTTAGAGTTAAGGCGTCGGTGACCGAGCCGAAGTACAACTGGGGATCCGTGACTCATCATTGCGTCGGAGTGATCACGGCGATAACTAATAACGGCAAGAATGTGTCCGTAGACTTTCCGCAGCAGCACGGATGGACCGGCTGCGTCGCCGAGATGGAGAAGGTACCGTCCTGCCATCATTCCGTGACCTGCAACTTGTGCTGCCTGTCGCCGATTTCCGGCCCCAGATTCAAGTGCAAGTACTGCGACAATTATAATCTGTGCGAGAATTGTTTCTACACCAAGCGATCGCATCGGCACGGTTTCAATAGAATCGCGGAGCCCGGTTCGGCGGCTGTGTACGCCGGCAAGCCAGGCAGATATCACAGGCAGGATATATCAGAGTCGTACTTGATCGACGACTGGTCGAAGTGCATTAGAACCTTGAGCGTGTCTTCGCGAGAAAATTGGGCGATGCACCTGGTGGACGGGTCCGGAAAATACTGGCAGAGTTGCGGGTCGCAGGGTAAACACTGGATACGCTTGGAGATGTTACCTGGGATCTTAATACACTCCTTGAAAATCATCGTTAATCCACAGGACAGTAGCTACACGCCTTCCATAATAGTGGTCAATGTAGGAGACTCCTTCACTAATTTAGTGGAATTAAGAACGCTAAATACACGTTATTCGAATACTAACGTTATGTTGCTTCAAGAGATGAAGGAATATTATCCGTGCGTCGAAGTAGCGATAAAGCAATGTCGAAACGGCGGCATAGACTGTAAGATACATGGTTTGCGTATAATCGGACGGCAGAATATGTTTGAAAATCAGCTAACGACCTCGGTCTCTTTCCTCGCGTCTGATTGGGAAGTCCTGCAGGAGCAAGTGGCGATACAACGTAGCACCGATGCACCACCTCAGCAATCAGCCGTTTACGTTTGGGGCTTGAACGATAAGGATCAACTGGGAGGTTTGAAGGGATCCAAAATCAAGCTACCAGTGTACAGCGAAGTCCTCTCAAAGTTAAAACCTATTCACATAGCCGGAGGAAGCAAGACTCTGTTTATCGTTAGTCAAGAGGGCAAGTTATACGCTTGTGGAGAAGGAACGAATGGTAGGCTGGGTCTAGGAGATGACAACAACGTGTGCGAACCGAAGGCCATACCTTTCCTGAATCAATTCGTGATAAAGAAAGTGGCGGTACATTCAGGCGGAAAGCACGCCCTGGCGCTCACTCAGGACGGCAAGGTGTTCTCGTGGGGCGAGGGCGAGGATGGCAAACTGGGACACGGAAATTGCGTATCGCTGGATAAACCGAAGCTCATCGAAACGTTGAAGTCGAAAAGGATCCGAGACATCGCTTGTGGATCGGGACACTCGGCGGCGATCGCGAGCAACGGCGAGCTGTACACCTGGGGCTTAGGCGAGTACGGCAGACTAGGCCATGGAGACACCATCACGCAAACGAGACCGAAATTGGTGCAAGCCTTAGTTGGACAGAGAGTCGTTCAAGTGGCCTGTGGTAGCAGAGACGCGCAAACTATGGCCTTGACCACCGACGGCTGCGTGTATTCTTGGGGCGACGGCGACTTCGGCAAGCTCGGTCGAGGCGGAAGCGACGGCTGTTACGTGCCTTTATTGGTAGATCGATTGAGTGGTCTGGGCGTCGTACAGGTGGAATGCGGGGCGCAGTTTTCTCTTGCCCTGACGAAATATGGCGAAGTGTGGACGTGGGGAAAGGGCGATTACTTCCGCTTAGGTCACGGCAACGATCATCACGTTAGAAAGCCCACGCTGGTCGAAGGTTTACGGGACAAGAAAATCATTCACGTGGCAGTTGGTGCGCTGCACTGTCTCGCGGTGACCGATACCGGTCAGGTGTACGCGTGGGGTGACAATGATCACGGACAGCAAGGCAACGGAACGACGAGCGTCAACAGGAAGCCGTCGTTGGTGCACGAGCTGGAGGACGCGAGGGTGAACAGAGTATCCTGCGGCTCGAGTCACAGTATAGCTTGGGTATTGGTCGATCAGCCCAGTAACGGCAACCAAGACCCGGTCGTATTTCCGACGGTGAGGGATCCGTTGGGCCAGATGTGTCTGGGCCTGAATAACGCGCCTGAGCAGAACAGCGTGGTTGCTGCGACAAGTGACGCCGTCGCCACGAGACCGTCGCTCGCCAGCATAATACTCTCGTTAGAGAGCAACGTGGCCAAACAGCAGGCTTTGCAGCACGTGATAAACGCCCTTCTCATTATACAGGCCCGAGTGGCGATAGTGACGGCTCTGCAGAGCCACTCGATGCTGAACGGCTGCGCATCGACGAAGCACGTGTCGCTAGCACCGGTGACGGAAATAATACCGCCGTCCGAGGGGGCTATGACATCGAGTACGGAGCACGCGGTCTATCAGAACGTCGGTGACATCGCGCAAGGCGGGGGTGAGGCTCCGGCGAACGTCGCCGAGGCTGTCAACGTGACCACCAGCCCTAAATTGTCTCCCGAATCGGAGGAGTATCCGCTAGCCATGTTAGCCATGTCCATATCCAGCTCCGCTAGTCTGTCCTCGCGTGCCTCGAGGATGTCGACGAGCGCGATGAGCGTCATAGCGGCCACTTTGACATCCAACGCACAGGTGGTGGGCGAGGATGGTGCAACAGCTTCTGGCTTGGACGAGTTCACGTCAGCGTTAACGGAGGACGATGCGAGGGTCCTAGTGGACTTGTTAAAGCTCGCGGTAGCCAATAGAGTCTGCGCGTCGGCCAAAGAGACGATAGCGTCGGTACTGATCGCTCTAGGAAAAGTCAACGGTTCTGTCGGTAGTATGCTCCTGGAACTGTGCGTCACAGAGCTGGAGGACACCGCGGCGAACAGCAATTGCGTCAACAACTCACCACAACCTGTGGTACAAGAGACGCCGCATCCTTATATAGACGACACCACGTTGACCGGCCACGTAAAGATACCCGGCGCCGAGGCGCTCCGGGTGGAATTCGATCGGCAGTGTTCCACGGAAAAGCGGCACGATCCGCTCACGATAATGGACGGCAGCGGCAGAGTGGTGGCGGTCCGATCCGGCAGGGAGTGGACCGAGTGGGGCCCGGAGATCAAGATCCAAGGGGACGAGCTGAGATGGCGATTCTGCTCCGACGGATCCGTCAACGGCTGGGGCTGGAAGTTTACGGTGTATCCTATTCTGGCGAAAACGGCGCCTTACGAGCTCGGATCCGACAGGGCAGTGTTATCGCAGCCGACTATAGCTCTGGCTGAGCATCTTCTCATGGACAACAGTCTGATAAATTCCGACAGAAACGTTGCCTCGCGTCTGGCCACCGCTCTGGGCCAGTGCAGTCAACTAAGCACTCTATCCGCGCAACAGAGGATGTGGGCGTTGAGGAAGTTACAGGTGGTTTACACAAACGGGCCGGGCATAAGACCCGAGGTGGCACTCTCGTCCCTCCTTAGCTCTCTACCGCAAGCGCTTTTGAGACAGTACACGTACGAAGATCCTTTGGTTCGAGGCGGCAAGCAATTGATGCACAGCGACTTCTTCAAGGTTCTCGTGGCGCTCGCGTGCGACCTCGAGCTAGACGGAACGTCATTCTGCTCCGAGGTGCACAAGTGGTCCTGGTTCCGAAGGTACTGTCTCGCTGCACGCGTGGCGAAGTCGCTCGTCGACCGTACTCCTCTGCCAAAGGCGTTTTGCTACGAGGTGACGAAGCAACTGAACGAGATGGCGATGGACGGCGATGCCGACTATACGAAGGATCATGAAAATCACAATATATTCAAGCAGGGACACGACGAGCAGTTGCTACAGTGGCTCAATCGTCGTCCGGAGGACTGGACGCTCTCGTGGGACGGATCAGGCGCGATTTACGGTTGGGGTCACAATCACCGGGGTCAGCTCGGAGGCTTGGAGGGTCCGAAAGTCAAGCTACCTGCGCCGTGCGAAAGTCTGTCCGCGCTCAGACCGATCCAACTGATTGGCGGTGAACAGACTTTGTTTGCTGTAACTGCCGATGGAAAGATCTATTCGACTGGTACGCGGACGAGTTAACTAATCTTCTTTCAATATTGCGTGGCATATCTCGAATTGTAACATATCTTGCAGGCTACGGAGCTGCGGGACGTCTCGGGATAGGAGGAACGGACTCCGTTATGATTCCGACGCTATTGGAATCGATACAGCATGTATTCATCAAGAAGGTGGCCGTTAGCTCGGGAGGCAAACATTGCCTTGCTTTGAGTTCGGAGGGTCACGTGTATTCCTGGGGCGAAGGCGACGACGGCAAATTGGGACATGGTAACAAGGTGTCATACGATCGGCCGAAATTGGTCGAGGATTTACTCGGCGTAGAAATCGTAGATATAGCTTGCGGTGGTCATCACAGCGCCGCAATTACCAGCGCTGGTTGGCTCTATACCTGGGGGAAAGGTAGGCTTAGATTATGGGAAAGCGCCGAAGACTTTATATTTCTAATTCCGAGAGTATTTGACAGCTACTGCGCGCTTAGATGTTTAATTATTAAAAAATCGCTATGTAGTTTTACATTGTGGTAAAAGAGACAATTTGATCGCAGGACGATACGGACGTCTCGGTCACGGTGACAGCGACGATCAGTTACGACCGAAGGTAGTGGAAGCTTTGCAAGAGTACAAAGTGATCGACGTAGCGTGCGGGAGCGGCGATGCGCAAACGCTCTGCGTAACCGACGACGACAACGTGTGGAGTTGGGGCGATGGAGATTATGGGAAGTTGGGAAGAGGCGGTAGCGACGGATGCAAGGTTCCGCTGAAGATAGATTCCCTGGCCGGGCTCGGCGTAGTTAAAGTCGAATGCGGCAGTCAATTTTCGATCGCTCTAACGAGATCCGGAGCGGTTTACACCTGGTAATAACACACGACAATTAATTTTTGTATATTTCTCTTATACAATTTATTTTTATCGAATGATCTTTTTTCACAATCCCTTTTTACATTTCTCACGTTCAGGGGCAAAGGCGACTATCATCGCTTAGGACACGGCACAGACGACCATGTCCGTAGACCACGTAAAGTAGCCGCGTTGCAAGGGAAGAAGATCATTTCAATAGCAACGGGCTCCTTGCACTGCGTCGCGTGTTCCGACAAGGGAGAGGTATTCACTTGGGGCGACAACGACGAAGGCCAGCTCGGCGACGGTACCACGAGCGCGCTTCACAGGCCGAGATTGGTACACGCGTTGCAGGGCAAGAAAATCACGCGAGTCGCTTGCGGTAGCGCGCACACGCTAGCCTGGAGTACCGCGAAGGCAACGCAGAGCAGAATGCCGGCGGCCACGCCGATGGAATACGATCTGGTTAAAGATCTGTCGTACTCCGTACTGCGCAATAGGCTGGTATTACTGCATCATTTCGCGGAACTGTTATGCCCCGCTTTGGCCATGTTTCCAATCACCGGGCATATCGGGCTGAGCAAGCTGGCTCCTATGCTGGTTTACAGTATAAAGGAAGCGACATTCCGCAAGGTTATTCAAGCCACGATGGTCAGAGATCGTCAGCACGGACCTGTGATCGAATTGAACAGGATACAGGTGAAAAGGGCCAGAGCCAAGGGTGGATTAGCTGGACCAGATGGCATCAAGTCTGTCTTCGGTCAGATGATGTCAAAGATGTCTCTCTTGACACAGGACGTACTGTTTCTACCTCATAGAGTATGGAAAGTGAAATTTGTGGGTACGTAGTTCACTCACGTATAATCGCGACAGTTTCTTATTAAACTGCATAAAATCGCTAATACGATCGTATCGCTTTAGGGGAAAGCGTCGATGATTGCGGGGGTGGATACAGCGAGAGTATAGCAGAGATGTGCGACGAATTGCAAAACGGTTCCCTGCCGCTGTTTATACCCACGCCAAACGGTCGCGAAGATAACGGCACAAACCGAGATTGCTTCTTGTTGAACCCCATGGCCGACTCCCAATTGCACATGAATATGTTCCAGTTCTTAGGCATTTTAATGGGCATTGCTATACGAACCGGTAGTCCATTGAGCTTAAATCTAGCCGAGCCGGTTTGGAAGCAACTTGCAGGTATACCTTTGACACCTGCGGATCTGACGGAGGTCGACAGGGATTATGTCCCCGGCTTGCTTTGTATCAGAGATATGGATCCTGATGAGAAAGTCTTTCAGACTTTGGAAATGCCGTTCTCAACGACATCCGCTGCTGGGCACGATGTGGCATTATCTAACAGGTATCGCGTTCGGTAACTTTATTACTTCATATATTGAACAAAACTCTAAAAATTATTTTAAATGTGAAGAACGAAACATTTTTTCAACCTCTTTTTCAAAGATAATTTCTTTAATTAATAAATTTAAAAAAATAATCATTTTTATTATTACAGTGAAATTTTGTTTGCGATACAAGAGAGAAAGGGAGAGAGATTTAATTTGTATTGCTTTAGGAATGTCAAACTTATTTTATAATGCGTCTGAAAAAAACGGGATTTGTGATATATTGTAGATAAAATGTATGAATTGTAAAGAAACTTTTTAAAATTTCAGATATCTTAAAATAACACCAGAAAATAGACACGAATATGTAAGATTGGCGTTAGATTATAGACTGCACGAATTTGATGCTCAAGTAGCAGCTGTACGAGAAGGCTTATCGAAAGTCGTTCCTGTGCCCCTATTGGCACTATTTAGCGGTGCTGAGCTTGAAACGATGGTCTGTGGTAGTCCAGACATACCACTTAATTTATTAAAGTCCGTCGCGACATATAAAGGTGAATGCTCCATTGCAATTGTATGCGTCGTATCGAAGCACTTGCATATTGACAGCTTTAAAAATATAAAAAAAACTTGTTCCACAGGTATCGAAGTGATTGCGCCACTTGTTCAGTGGTTCTGGGAAGTCATGGATGAATTTACGAATCAAGAACGATCGCTTTTCCTTCGTTTTGTTTGGGGTAGAACACGTTTGCCGCGCACAATCGCAGATTTTAGAGGCAGAGACTTTGTTTTACAAGTAAGAAATTGTCATTTCTCGATAAGAAGCAGTTAAGATGCAGTTTATTGTACACCGTGTAATTATTTTTTTTTCGCAGGTAATGGACAAGTACAACCCACCGGACCAGTTTCTTCCTGAAAGCTACACTTGCTTTTTCCTCCTGAAGATGCCGCGATATTCCAGCAAAGCGGTTCTACGACAAAAACTGAAATATGCAATTCTCTTTTGTAAGAGCATCGACACCGACGAATACGCTCGAGTACAAGCTGCAACCAATTCCGACACCGATGATACAGATAGTTTAGCAAGCGAAGAACACACTTCGCTTTGAATCATTCATTACGTGAAATGGTTATTTGTGTTTGAAATAGCATTTCCGTTGACTTCTTTAAACATGTGTTCACAGAATCTCCAAAAACAAAAAGTCCTATTTTTCTTACACAGTATACTAATATGCTACACACTACGCTAATACTTAAATACATGTACTGCTTTTGTAGCACGACCAGTTTATTGTATAGTAGATGTTAATAACGAAAGGTATAAATAAACTAAGATTATTAGGGTACTCTTAGTCGGTATAATATTATTTATTTTGTAGCTAAGCATCGGACGATTATTTAATTCCGTAATTTTGTTTACTAGTGTGTTTAGTCTAACGTTAGTATTCAAGAAATAGTTTGCATACCGTCATTATACATTTCGAAGTACATCTTAGAGATACGTTGCTATTTGCAGAGAGCATTATTTTATGTTCCATCGCGATTTTTAAACGATTTCATATTTTGATTGCATGTATTCATGTGCGTTAAAATAGTTAACATGTAGCGAAAACATCACTAGTCTTGTTATTTTTACTAAATAATCAAATCGCGCTGCAGATAAGCAGTGCAATGTCATCGGTTACTTCTTTTACACATTTACTGAAGTATTTATTGATAATAAAGCAAACGACTTGGCACATACTCTCAGTCGCCACGGCACATGTCACAATCGAAATATTCTGATACAATATCAAGGTCAAAAGGCTGTTTGCATTGTTCTGTACATATTGGTCTAACAATAAAATTCTGGATGTATATAAGTCTGTGAGAATAAAGCTGTCGTAAGAGTCGTTATCAGCGATAAACTCCAGAGTTTATATTGGCCACAAGGAGAGTTCTCTTCAGAAAGCTGAGATTTCATCAAAAGTATAATTTGCAGTATTAGATTTAAATAAGATTCTTCCTTAATTCCTTTATCTGAATTTTTACTTTTTTTTCAAATTGCGGTCAATTTCGCGTTAGTAATGTGATAGATGATTCAACTTTATGTATTTACTTTTATAAAGGAAATCGCTAAATGTGACGATAATACGCGAGATTTCTGATTTAATTCGGTAAGAACTGGTAAAAACTTATCGCATGACGAAATTAGTGTCTCTTATTATCGTTATATGTCAACACAGCAATGTCGGACATTTTTTTACGTGTAATAATAATAAGTACAACAACGCACACATTGAAGAAGCTGCGAGGAAAAAGAAACAAGGAGAAAACATAGATAACATTGCGGCATACTTGAGCAACCATGTAGCTCTTTGCACAAACCCCTCTCTGTTTTCAAGTATCGTCTTTCTCCTTCAGCGTCTGCAAATATATTGAGTAACGTTGCTTTGCGATTAACGTCGTTCGTAATCTTTTTCTTTTTCGCTGGGCGAACTGCACGGAAGCAGCAATTTTCTCAATCGAACGCACGATGTACGCGGACGCGGACTGATATCGCCGGGCGAGTGAGAGTAGCGGGAGTTGAGAAATGCTCGACGATGCAACGGGAAGCTGTTTGATAATGTACGTACATGCTGTAAACAGTGTAATTGTAAAGAATGAACCACAACTAGCAGAATAGTCGCGCGATACCGCGCGGCCCGTGAACCGAGGAGAGACTGTAGTTCAATCTGCGCTAAATATTGCAATCGCGCACAAGCTGAGTCTGCGAGGCGAAATGTTTCGTTTAGCAAGGAACAAGGTATATATATTTCGTTTGAAATTAGCGTTCAGTGGTACGTTATAAGAGAGATGGTTTCATTCATATTTTTGTAGAAAAAAAAACAGAAGCCGCATGCATTCCAATGCTTTTTTCACTTTTCAGCTGCCTAAATGGGGTCTCAGAAATAAACGAGCGGTCGCTACATGCGAAGAAAGCGAGATAAAGAACATTGACGTGCCCGGCAATGCAGACGTTGTAATAATAGGTAATTACAGATATAAATCTGTAGAAATAAAACAGCGATCTATGTTAATCAGAAAATTGAATATTCTGCACTGTACATTAATTTTCTTTTCGGCAATATCTGTTTGCGCGTAGAATTAAAAAGAAATAGAAATCTTAGTCAAGCATTAGTCAGTCTTAACGTTTACAGACACAGATTTATTAATAAATTCAATTAAAATAATAGGCGGTGGCAGCGCCGGTTGCAACGCGCTGTATCAGTTAGGAAAGCGTGGAGTCAATGCAGTGCTCTTGGAAAAGTCCAAGTTAATATCCGGCACAACCTGGCACACAGCTGGTCTTCTGTGGCATTTACGCGGGATATGCGACGTAGAGACGGAATTGCTGAAGGCTTCTCGATTGCTTTACTCGTCTTTGCAAGAGGAGACAGGTATAAATCCAGGATGGATAAACAACGGTGGACTCTGCATCGCTCACTCCCCCGTAAGTGTGAATACACTTGCACGATTGACCCGCCTTTATATCCATTTCTCGGAGAATAACTGTCCATTGTGTGTTTTTTTTTTTCGTAGGAGCGAATCGCCGAGTACGAGAGATTAATTACTAGCTGTAAGAATTTCGGTATCGAGGCGTACATGATCGATCCGGTCGAAACGACGGAAAAGTTTCCCCTCCTCGATAAAAATGCGTTTCAAGCTGCGATATACTCTCCAGCGGACGGTACGATAGATCCTGCCATGTTAGTAAACGCGTTGACAAAATCAGCAGAGAAGAACGGTTGCAAGGTACTTTGCTTTCCTCATCGCCATCGGTCTCTACAACATACATACATTTATATAATAATCGAACTAATAGTTTGTACGTAAATTCTGCCGTGTAGTTGGCGACTGAATTGCTTGTTCGTTAGCGAAATGCAAACAGGCAGGAATGCCTGGACTATAGAATCGAAATACAGAAATGTCCAGGCATCCCCGCCTGGCCGTGTATTAGCAAAATTCCACCGCTAATTATTAACTGACAGTTGATTCAATTAAACATACAATATATAAATATCAAATAATTCTTTTAAGGTCATCGAAGATTGTCCGGTCACTAAAATTCTCGTGGAGGACACCGACGGCCATAAAACCGTCCGCGGAGTGGAAACGCCTCACGGTATCATAAAAGCTAACGTCATATTAAACGCGGCGGGAGCCTGGTCTGGAACGATAGCGCGAATGGTAGGACTGGATATCCCTCTGGTACCGATGAAACACGCATACATTGTTACCGAGCCGATGAACGTACGGGGATTGCCGAATATTCGAGATCCCGATTTCAATATCTACTTTCGCGTGCAGGGTGGAAATATAAATATCGGAGGATACGAGCCGAATCCTATCATACTGAAATTTGTAAGTATTGTGTATCTTAACCCAGATAGCACACATAGTTCTATGAATATCCTTCTGGGGTGCAAACATTCTTAATTTCAGAATATTCCAGTCGAGTATTCCATAAGTATTTATAGATTATTACAATTAAAAATTGCATATTCATAACAAAGAAGAACGGTTTTTAGAATGTTCGTCGAGAATGTCTTTGGAATATTCGTTGAGAATAATTTTGGAACATCCATCGAGTTTATGTATTGCACATTGTTTATTGGGTAATACACTTATCTTGTGCAAAAGGCAGTGAAATCTGCGATCATATCATATATAACCGACACGTTATATTCGATAGATTATTCTATTGACGTTCTCGAAAAAGATTTACAGTAGTGCCAGTCGAACGTTCCACGAACATTAATTAACAATTTCCAAATATTCTTGAAGAATATTCTTACAATGTTCATAAGAGTGTCTTGTGCTATCTGGGAATAAACGTTACGCGTGAGAGTTAATATACTTGTTATAAAAGAAGCACATGCAAGATATAACTTAAAGTCCACGTACTCTTGATTAACTCGAACGATATGTATTGTGAAGCCGCCGGAGGACTTTTCCTTCAGTTTGTACGAGCTGAATTGGGACGTGTTCAACACCCACGTGGAGGCGATGAACCGACTGATACCCGCTTTGGCGACCGCCGGAATAAGAACAACGGTGTGCGGCCCGGAAAGCTTCACTCCCGACCACAGACCTATCATGGGTAGAAAATTTCAGAATTAATTTACGATCGATTACGATGATGTATGACGTAGGGCACGTTAAGTCTAAAATAACAAAAATGTCCGATAGGCGAAGACCCACGCTGCACAGGTTTCTATTACTCCTGCGGATACAACAGCGCCGGGATGATGTTCGGAGGTGGTTGCGGAGAACAAATAGCATTATGGATAATTAACGGACGGCCGGACAAACACATGTTCGGTCAGGACATCAGACGGTAGATATTTATTCCAGTTAAAAGACGGATCTTAAACCTTAGATTACGATAGCATGACATAATATTTATTCGGCGAATTAAATTTAGGATTTATCAGTCTTTCATAACACGACTTCTGTTTGTTTGTACAACTATACAAAATTGGTCTGCGATGATTTGCTAGTGACTAATTAAAAGTCAGAGCTATATCTTGATCCTTCGTTTTTCTGAGTGAAAGAAAAGGGACCGACATATAGTTCTAACTTTTCCCCCTGTCCAGGTACATACCAGAACAAAAGAAAAATTCGGTTTGGGTGAACGAGCGAAGTCACGAGGCTTACGCGAAAAATTACAATATTGTTTTCTCGCACGACGAACATTTGAGCGGCAGAAACTTGAAGACGGATCCTTTCCACAATGTAAGTTACGCTTCGTGTTCAGTTCAGGCTTTCTTCGTTCAATTAGATTGCGCATTTCTTCGCTCGTACAAACGCGACGTGTCACGACCAATTTTTAGTTCCTCGTCAACGAAGGCGCCGTTATGGAAGAACGTCAAGGATGGGAACGTCCAGGGTGGTTCCTACTAGACAACAAAACGGCCCCGATTTTACCCTACGATTACGGCGGCTACTACGATACACCAAAGAATACGAATAACACGTATGCCGATATACTGAAAACAGAATGTACATTTGACTTTCCACCGCACGATAATATCGTGAGTCTCTTTTCTGGACTGTCGGAAAGTATTTTTGCACGATGAAAGGTGCCGGCTCGGTAATTTTTCTTACGTACTTGTCGCAGATACGGGAGGAAGCGCTTGCCTGCAGAAATAACGTTGCCTTATTCGACATGTCGTATTTCGGCAAGCACTACATATGCGGCCCAGACGCGAAAAAAGCGGTCGATTACATATTCACGTCTCGAGTGGACCGAGAGATTAATCGAACTGTGTACACCTGCATGTTGAACAGAAAAGGCGGCGTGGAAGGCGACTGCACGGTCACTGGTCTCGAATCCGGCTCGGGCGGCGTAGTCGATCCCATATTTAAGGGAAAAGCCTTTTACTTAGGTGTCTGCTTTGAGATTTTATCGAGAGAGCGCGCACATTTTATTCCAATCCTGCATTATTAATGCATTTTAGTGAGCGGAGGCATGTCATCGTATCACACTTGGGCGCACATCAGCAAAGTGATAAGGGACAAAGGTTTCAGCGTGTCCGTACACAATGTCACGGAGCAGATAGGAATTTTGTCAGTTCAAGGTCCTAACAGGTAGCGAGATCAAGCGCAAATACGAATGAGCATGTAAATTGTTGTGAAAGGTACACCTCGCATATCGTCCGTACGATCTTACAGCCGCGAAGTCCTTCGGGAGTTGGTCGACGTCGATCTGTCGAATAAGTCAATTCCGTTCTCGACTGCGAAACTGGCGCGCATAGACGGCGAACTGGTGCTCATGTTTAGACTCAGCTTCGTGGGTGAACTCGGTTTCGAGTTACACATCCCGAGGAGTTCGTGCGAGAAGGTTTACAAAGCTGTGATGGAATGCGGCAGGAAATATGATATGAAGCTGGCCGGCTACAGGGCGCTCTACAGTCTGAGTTGCGAGAAAGGTGCGTAGCGAACGCAGGGTACAAGGCTTTCCCCGTCCCTTTTAACTCTGCGCCGATTCGCGGTAATTGTCAATTCGTCCATCAGGATATCATCTCTGGGGCGCAGACTTGAGGACGGACGACAATCCGATAGAAGCCGCTCTAGAAATGGTCTGCCGCAAGAACGGCAAGTACTTGGGAAAGACATCTGTTGAACAGTGCCGTAAAAACGGAATAAAAAAAAGACTGGTACACTTACACATAAATGAGTGAGTACATCGTTTTGCGACTTGAACCCCCGGTATTCTTAGGTCAGTATATTAACAAACGCGCACCGTTTTCGCGCATAAACACTCGTTTAATTACAGCGACATACCACTGTGGGGTATGGAGAGCGTTTACAGAAACGATCGATTGGTCGGTTATCTAAGAAGAGCCGAGCGCGGGTACACCTTCAAACGCAGCATCGGACAGGCGTAAGTGGCGTACGAGATGGCGAATAATGGAGGCGTGAACAATTGCATATAAATATACACGTTTACTTTGACGTTATTCAGATACATCACAGCTCCGAATGGGCAAAACGTTACAAGGGAATTTCTAGAGACGGGTACTTACCAGATCGAAGCGCGGAGGAAAAAGTATCCCGCGCAGATGTACCTTCACAGCCCGTTCGATCCACAGAACAAGAGACTACTAGGTGTATACACAATATAAAGAGCTACGTAAGCGACATTGCGCCTTTTGATTTTAAACCATCCGCGGAAAGCAATTGTACGTGTCTCAACTAGGGGTAAACCGCTGAGGGCACAGTGGCGTCCAGATTTGCGGTATTACTGAGCATTAATTCGCATTATAAAGATAAAATAATGTCCACTGGGCATCAGTAGGCATTGGTGTGCATGATTTTGGTCAGCGGTTTACCCCTTGTGTCTCAACGATCGCAAACATTTTATACATTTTTTTTACATACATAAAAAGAAATGGTATAAATTACTTGTGTTATTGTCACGAACGGTATCGAGTGTTCCGTTACTCGGGACAGCCTATCCCGCTAATGGATTAGCGTGTACGCTTACGTTGTTTATCCTGATTTCTGCGAGCGGTTTGTAATTCTTAGGATTCACCGGTAGTTTCTCCAGTTGCTCCAAGGTTTCCAGGCCGTCGATGACCCTGCGACGAGCAAGCAAAGATTAACCGTGATGTTACGTCTGCTATATGCACGGTAGAAAAATTAACGGGAGACGAACTCACTTCCCAAACAAGGTATACTTGAGGTCTAGGTGCGACTGAGGCGCGTAAGTTATGAAAAATTGACTGCCGTTCGTGTTAGGGCCGTTGTTAGCCATAGATACAAGGCCCCTCGTGTTATGCTTGAGCTCCTCCTTAAATTCATCCTCGAACTTGCGATTCCATATGGACGTTCCACCTTTACCCGTGTTGCTGGGGTCACCGGTTTGGACGATGAAGCCCTTTATGTTCCGGTGGAATAGGCAATTGTCATAGTACTCGCTGGCGCAGAGTGCGAGGAAATTCTGAAACGAGAAAGAACGCGCCTGCGTCACAAAGTTGTAAATCTTGGTTTTCTAATCAGAGCCAGCGCCTTCAGGCTCGCTGCGGAATTATTTTAGTGAACCTGGCGCTTCCCTCGAGTCCCTTAACTCGGTTACATTGTCTCGATAACTAGTGACTTAATTTAATTTTTCGACAACTAGTCATTTAATTTGTTACACTAATAGTTGCTTTATATATTTTTCAAACCTCGACAGATCGCATTAGGCCTCGCATTTTTGCGCATAAACGCCTTTATCGACGCCTCACAATTCAAATGCAGACCTGATATTTTTACTTTCTGCACGCAATACTGCAAAGTGACGATTCGCTACTTTCGAGTAGCCGACTGCAACGAGTTTTCAGAATTGGTAACTTGTAACTGTAACTAGTTAAATTTTTAGTAAAAAAAAAGACTGCAACTGTAACTAGATACATTTATAAAGTAACTTTCGCAACCCTGTTTCTATTTCTTAGACCATCAGTTCTGACTCGCTCGAGCACTCTCGGCGCATCGACACATGGACGGCCGGTGCTACAAATATTTTAAAAATTGCGCCTGCACTTTAACTCTTACACTAAACGGTAAAAGACTCTCTTACTTCCCTACTCTCACCGCAGACGGTCCTTGATTTCTTGCTAAAGTAGGAACTTTCATTCTCGGTGAATTAGCAACACGCGGTCGGCTAACAATAAGACCCGTTCTCCATTGATCGTATCGTAGCGTCGCAAATCACAAGATTCGACCAATCGGTGTCGAATTAGAACCTGTCTACGACCCTTGCTACGACACGAGCAACGCAGAACCAGCCTAGTACTACAAGTATTTTAAAGCCTAGCACTACAAGTATTTTAAAGCCTAGTACTACAAGGATTTTAAAAGCGTCTGTACTTTAGCCTCCTCGCAACAAAAGGTAAGGTTATGGTTCTCTCTTATTCCTTGCTCCGCGCGTCGCAGACCAATCTTGAAAATATATAGAAAATTTTTTTTGGAGGGTCTTTAACGTCTCGTCGACTGGACCGAACTTTTATCCTCCGGTACATTTAGACTGTACATAAACACAATCGCGTGCATAGGTTATGTGTCGCCAACGTGGGCGGTTCAGTCGTCGCTGATCAATACCTCGCACGTTTTCGGGCACATCTCGCAGAACAGTTCGATCTTGATGTCGCCGACGTCCGTGTGCAACGTTACGCTCTGTAAAAAGTAAAGATCTCCGTCACCCAAAGCCGTACGGACGCGCGAGCGAGCTGCAAGCACCGCGGACTTGATACCATTTTTGTTTCTTTCCTTCACGATGTGCGTCGTGTGTCCGAGCCGAGGGATCTAGTCTAAGTCGAGTCCGTTAATTTCGAGATCACGCGCGACGGCAAAACGAATCCTGCCCGGGCTCCGACGTTTCCGCGTTCGAGAACGTTGACGCGTACTAACCGCGGGGCCGCGGGGAGGTGCAGAAAGTGCAGCTAAACCTGCGCACGTGACGCGCGTGGCGCTTCGTTCCGAAGTCAAGTGGCGTCCGCGACGAACGCCGACCCGCCAAGTTGCCAGGCTTACATTATCGCGTTACGCGTTACATTATTGTTACATTATTAACTATCGACATTGAATCATTAATTGTTACACGTCCTCGTGCGTCGGAGACGACGACACGTGTCGGAGCTCGCGGCGAGTCCCTCGAAGGGCGGAAATCGAGAGCTCTCGAAGCGTACGAGAGACGCTCCGGCGAATCGATCCGCGTATCGATCGACGTATCGACGAGCGAGAGAAAGAGAGAGAGAGAGACAATCGCTTGAGCTCGCGGTGACGCGAGCGAAAGGAATTCGGGCGCCGAGCGGAGCGCCGCCTCGCGGCCGCCAGGCGCTTCCTCTCGCCTGCGCGCGTCCACTCACCCGCCGCGCACGCACAACGAACGGAGTGTGTGGCGAGAGAGAGCGGAAATAGTGAGATCCCGTCAACTCCCCGGGGCGCGCTCCATTTCCGCGAGAGGAGAGTAGCACATCGCGCGGCGGACGGACGAGAGTGCGCGAGGCCGAAGAGCGGTCACAGGCGTAGCCAGAGATCGCGCGATCGCGGTGGATCGTTGTTCACGCCGGTGGGCGGAAAGAAAGGAGCGAGGGAGAAAAAGAGAGATAGAGAGAGAGAGAGAGAGAGAGAACGCGCGCGAGAAAGAGTGAGATCGTAAAAGCGGCCAGCAGCAGCAGCAACAGCAGCCGGGATCCGCCGACGAGTGGCGCGTCTGTGAGAACGCGCGTTCCCCTCGGCGAGCGTGACGTAATTGTATTGATCCGCGGCGGGAGGAAGGGCCCGAGAGAGTCGCGCATTCGCCATCTTGGACGAATCGGTAGTAGAAAAGAACGTTTCTGCGTCCCCGTAGGCCGCCGACGTGTGCGTGCGTCGCTTCCCCTCCGTGTCGTCGTCGCCGCCGCCGCCGCCGCCGCCGCCGCTGCCGCCGCGAGGTGGTGATCCGTGGCGATCCGCGCGTTAATCTAGTTTCACCGGGAGTTAACCCTGTTGTGAATTGGCAACCCATTTGGACGGACCAAGGTGAGTCATTATTTTTTCGCTCCCCGCGCGCTCCGTGTCCGTCGCGGACCGGGGGTCCCTTTCTTTGCGCGCCGACGATTCCGCCGTATCCGACACTTCCCCACCCCC